CCACAGATTTAATTCCATCTACATATAGGCAGGCTGGAATAGGAATGATATCAGCAAATATCTAGAGGGAAAGCTAAATATTATAGGGTTTGGGGTTGGAGTCTTAGTCCTAAAGAGTATGAATGAATTATTTGAGGTCAAAGTCTCAAGGGCAATTAGTGTACAAATAAAGTTGGCTCTCCCGGCGTCAGGCAGACTGTGGGTCCCGTCCTAAGCTTCCTTATAGCCATCGATTCTCATTTGCTGAAGGCAGCCTCAAGTCCCGTGGTGTTTAGAGAGGGCAAAATGAAGGTCTCTCTCAACTCAGCCATACACAGAGTTCGAAGAAATATTGTTCAGGGTTTTTCTAACCCCACACTCTACCTAAGGACTCCCTGGTGATATAGGACCCCCTAAATGACATAAGAGAAATATTAAAACTCCCAATCTGCTCGTTGTCTGATACTCTGAGTTTGTGTTCCCCCAAATCAGAGAATTAATTCTGAGAAACAACAGAGATCAAGAGTAAGAAATTGTATTGAAGAAGAGAGAACTCCAGGGACAGACAGAAGAGGGCTTGAGTGGGTTGCCAGTGGGCCCTCTTCACAAAGGAAGTTTCATAGAGCAGCATCATGAGGTAGGTCCAAAACATGTGAGGGGGGTAGGGTGCAACGTGAGATAAAACTACCACCAACCAATAAGATTGCAAGTATGGTTGCTTAGGTAATATTGATCCAATGGGGCGCGTCGTGCAGCAAGTGTACATGGAAAGAACAAGGACCCTTCTCGTATAAGGTAGTCCATACTGATTGCAGTACCGGGGCTCCACAAGTCCTTTTATGGAAGGGATGGGTCAGGAGGTCTCAGCCCCCTGACCCGGGTGATTGATGCTTACTTAAAATATTGATTATGGTATTTTGTTTACCCTGCAGGGAGTGATGTAGGTATGGTCATTCCATCTTTATTTTGAGTCCCAGCCTTCAATGAATGTACCACAGCTATAATGTGTTCCTATCTTCTGCAAGGCCTAGCCCTGCCAGACTACCTATAACATTTCTACCTAACTTAGCCTCCGTAATACTGGGCATGGGAAGAGGTTGCCAAAAGAAAACACATAAATCATAACACTTTAATGATCTGTCTCTTTGGAGGGAACATTTACATAAGAAACAGCAGTGGCTATCAAAGGAGCCCTTTCACAGTTGGTCTTAATGACTCCAACACAAACAGCTCCACTACAGTGGCAGCAGCTGTTCTGAAAATCAAGGTAAACCATCAGCTTAGGACCATTCTAAGTTGTCCTGCTGTCACAGATAGAAGAAAGTTTTTCTCTCTTTCCCCTTTTGACTCTTATTGATACTAATGTACTATAAGAAATTAAGGTCATAATTCACCTAAGAAGTGCTATAGTGCCCTTTAGGGAAGTTTCTACTAATTCATTTATAGTAACAAACCTAAAATTGTAAAATGTTACTATCATTCAACGTGGTCATACAGCTAACATGCACTCTAATTGAACATAATTGTTTTACATGTTCAGTGTTTTCTTGGGCATGTGTCTGCCTGTTAATCTGTTTTAGTAACAGATTAAAGTATTTGCCATTGAGAGCTTGTATCAATTTGTTGTTCTGTTGTTGTTTTCCTTATAGACTTCTGGCTCTTTTGAAATTTTCCATAGAAAACTGTATAATTTTTTAAGTAACTAAATTCACTCAAAATATTAGAGAAAAAACTGGTACATATGACTTACAGGTGAAAATTTTACAGTTAAATAGCATCAAGGTTATATAAGACAAGGTGAATATATGTGTGTCCATGTGTTAATTTTCAGGTATGTATTCTATTTTAGTTGGTTTATAGATAAATAGACCTTCATAACATGGCCCAAATGTACATTGTTCATATAACTTAAGAGAAAGCTAGTTTCGATCTGGGGCTATAACTCAGCGGCTTAAGTGCCTACCTGGCAAGCACAAGGTCCTAGTTCGATCCCTGGTACCAAACAACAGTAACAAAAAGCCTGGAAAGCTAGTTTAAACTGGTTAATAAGATAAAGGCAAAGATACCTATATGGTTGGTGACATGTTTTCATTGATGTTCTTAGCCAATCAAGATATTTTGTTTGTTTGTTT